TCTCACAAATGTTCTTCTTTGTGATCCGAATACCTCAAACTTCGATTAATCTGTCCATAACACTTTTTTCGAATCTTCCTCTGTCCAGTGTCTGTGTTCTTTTGCCCATCTTAATATTTTCTTTTTATTGGCCAGTCTGAGATATGGCTTTTTCTTTGCAACTCTGCCTAGAAGGTCAGCATCCCGGAGTTGCCTCTTCACTGTTGACGTTGAGACTGGTGTTTTGCGGGTACTATTTAATGAAGCTGCCAGTTGAGGATCTGTGAGGTGTCTGTTTCTCAAACTAGACACTCTAATGTATTTGTTCTCTTGCTCAGTTGTGCACCGGGGCCTCCGACCTCCTCTTTCTATTCTGGTTAAAGCCAGTTTGCGCTGTTCTGTGAAGGGAGTAGTACACAGCGTTGTACGAGATCTTCAGTTTCTTGGCAATTTCTCGCAAGGAATAGTCTTCATTTCTCAGAACAAGAATAGACTGACGAGTTTCAGAAGAAAGTTATTTGTTTCTGGCCATTTTGAGCCTGTAATCGAACCCACAATTGCTGATGCTCCAGATACTCAACTAGTCTCAAGAAGACCAGTTTTATTGCTTCTTTAATCAGCACAAGAGATTTCAGCTGTTACAAAAGGGTTTTCTAATGATCAATTAGGCTTTTAAAATGATAAACTTGGATTAGCAAACACAACATGCAATTGAAACACAGGACTGATGGTTGCTGAAAATGGGCCTCTGTACGCCTACGTAGATATTTCATAAATAATCAGCCGTTTCCAGCTACAATAGCCATTTACAACATGAACAATGTCTACACTTTATTTCTGATCAATTTGATGTTATTTTAATGGACAGAAAAATTGCTTTTCTTTAAAAAAACAAGGACATTTCTAAGTGACCCCAAACGTTTGAACGGTAGTGTATATGCGTGTGGATGTGTGTCTGCTATTTAACTATTGCTCCTATATGTCAACACTGTAGTAAAGGGTTGTGTCTCTGTGTGTGTGTATGTGTGTGTGTGTGTGTGTGTGTGTGTGTGTGTGTGTGTGTGTGTGTGTGTGTGTGTGTGTGTGTGTGTGTGTGTGTGTGTGTGTGTGTGTGTGTGTGTGTGTGTGTGTGTGTCTGTCTGTGTGTGTGTGTGTGTGTCTGTGTGTGTGTGTGTGTGTGCGTGCGTGCATGCTGTGGAACTCCTCTCAGATTTTTTCTTCCCTCTCTACTGCCCTTTGACTCCGGTTTCACATACACAAACAACCACTTCTGCTTTCATTAACCTCCACTGTGTGCTCTTTAAAAAATATATTTTCTCTCCTTCAAAGATAATAATGTTTAAATTGAGAGAGAAGGAGTTGGGGAGTGTGCTGATAACAGTATAGCTTCCTACACTGTCCCTGTCCCCATACCGGGCTCAAACTAGTGGTCGGAACTAGTGGTCCTCTGCTCGCAAACACACGTGACCTTCCTCCTTGACAACGTACCAACCAATTGAGGTGTAAAAAAAGGATCCATTTACATACAGTACCAATGAAAAGTTTAGACACACCTACTCATTCAAGGCTTTTTCTTTATTTTTACAATTTTTTACATTGTAGAATAATAGTGAAGACATCAAAACTTTGCTGGTGACACTGTCTGTGATATATTTAGAATTCAAGGCACACTTAACCAGCATGGCTACCACAGCATTCTGCAGCGATACGCCATCCCATCTGGTTTCGGCTTAGTGGGACTATCATTTGTTTTTCAACAGGACAATGACCCAACACACCTCCAGGTTGTGTAAGGGCTATTTTCCCAAGAAGGAGAGTGATGGAGTGCTGCATCAGATGACCTGGCCACCACAATTCCCCGACCTCAAACCAATTGAGGTGGTTTGGGATGAGTCGGACGGCAGAGTGAAGGAAAAGCAGCCAACAAGTGCTCAGCATATGTGGGAACTCCTTCAAGACTGTTGGAAAAGCATTCCAGGTGAAGCTGCTTGAGAGAATGCCAAGAGTGTGCAAAGCTGTCATCAAGGCAAAGGGTGGCTATTTGAAGAATCTCGAAATATAAAATATATTTTGATTTGTTTAACACTTTTTTGGTTACTACATGATTCCATATGTGTTATTTCATAGTTTTGATGTCTTCACCATTATTCTATATAGAATAATATATTCTAAATAGTAAAAATAAAGAAAAACACTTGAATGAGTGGGTAGCTCCATTGGCAACATTTCCAGCTAGCTGTGAAGGGACCTTATGGCATGTTCTTATCTCTTACATATGTGAGGGTTGACACAATAAGTAGATTTGGGTTGTATTCATTAGGGCAATTTGTATCAAAAGGTTTTGCAACAGAAAACATAAACTAGACACAAGTTTAGGTAGTGCCTCCCTATTTCTTTCCGTTTGGTGCCTAATGAATACGACCATGAGGTGCCATAGCTTGACTTGTTGACCATTTTTGTCAAGCTCAGAGTTCATCAGTAGAATTTTTGTACTCTCCTGATGTCTAGTGGTCAAAGTTGGAACTGTGGACTAATCACAGTGATCCCATAATGCAGAAGATAAGAGGAACTTTGTCGAGAGCCAGCCAAACCTTGTATTTGTTTTTAAATAATTAGATGGACATACTTTGAGACAGGCATTGTAAATGGAACTACATTTGTTATTTTTGTTAAACTATCCAAATTAGGGATTTTATCTAAATAACTGAAATTAAAATTCTCTGACCGTTCTTCTTCTGAGAATGAGTTGACCTGTAGACTCTTAAACCAATGATCAATGACTTCCACCCCAGAGAGCAGAACTGGATGAAAATATGTATTTTTTCAACCAGTTTTGCTCACTGGGAATGTATTTAGTGTTGTCTCTATGCCCATTCAAAGCTCTTCTCTGTCATGGCACCCCAATGGTGGAACAAGCTTCCCTCTGACACTAGGACAGCAGTGTCCCTGCCCATCTTAAATAATCCCACAGCACCCCTCCCCCTCACAAAAAAAAAGAACACCCTTGCCTTTCGTGAACTAACACTCGCACTTCACTTTTTTTCCTACTAGCACTGGCTACTTTATTGAGGAAAAATGTACTTACTATGATTTAGATATGTGGTTGTCCCAACTAGCTATCTTAAAGGTCCAATGCAGCCGTTTTTTAAGACATTTATTTTTAATCTCAATATCAATTAAAATGGTCAAAAAGAAACAAAAATAGCTTCTAGGCATGAGCAATTTCTCAAGCAAGAATTTTCACAATTTCACAGTATTATTCCAACCTCGTAATGTGGAAATATAAATTAAATACAGGATAATCACATTTTTGACGGCAGTGGGCCTTTAAGATGAATGCACTAAATATAATGTAAAAATTAAGAATATATAAATGACTGTGGATTTTTGTTGTCTCATTTAACACAGTACAGTATTCTGTAAAATGCACATCGCACAAAGTGAGTAGAAATTATGTTATGAGATGATAGAGAGGGAAGTGTCCATTCCAAAACCCTTCTATGTGTCATTACCTAACAACACCCCTGTTGGCCTTGTAACTAAGTTGGCCGCAGAGTAGGCCCTGCCCAAGAACATTCACACACAGAGAGAGAGAGAGAGAGAGAGAGAGAGAGAGAGAGAGAGAGAGAGAGAGAGAGAGAGAGAGAGAGAGAGAGAGAGAGAGAGAGAGAGAGAGAGAGAGAGAGAGAGAGTTACCCAACATGCACCAGACCATGACACGCTGAGTGTTGGAGTGTGCCCCTGGCTATCCGTAAATTTAAAAAAACAAGAAAATCGTGCCGCCTGGTTTGCTTAATATAAGGAATTTGAAATTATTCATACTTTGACTTTAGATACTAAAGTATATTTTTGAAATTACATTTACTTTTGATATTAAGTATATTTAAAATCTAATACTTTTTGACTTTTACTCAAGTAATATTTTACTGGGAGTCATTTTCTGTTAAGGTATCAATTGGGTACTTTTTCCACCACTGCTTGTGGTAAAACAATGATATGACAATACAGTATGTGTCCTATTTATTCAACCACCCTACAGTTATTTTTGATTGCCTCTGTTACATACAATCAAATCAAGAATTGTAAAACTGTACTGTGTTTCGCAGTCAAAATGTTGCACAATTTTTAACCATAAAGATAAGATGTAGATAGATGTCTGACCAAAGATCATGAGGACAGAGGGTGTGTACAGTACTGTAGAACATTGTGAGCATTTTTATCAGCCTCACAAGAGAGTTCCCTCTGCCCTCTAAGAAAAATCCAGGTAGGCATTATATTTTATATTTTTTGTAATTTAGCAGACACTCTTATCCAGAGTGACTTACAGGAGCAATTAGGGTTAAGTGCCTTGCTCAAGGGCACATCGACAGATTTTTCACCTAGTCGGCTCGGGGATTAGAACCAGCGCCCTTTCAGTTACTAGGCACAACGCTCTTAACCACTAAGCTATCATCATCTGTATAAGACTGAAATCACAGGTAAAGGTGTGAAATGACATGGTATATGCTTGTTGACATTAGCTGGGATAAATCTTCTTCTGAGGGCAGCTGTCTCAGAATAGGATTCATTCCAACAGATGTCAACGTACCTTTTTTTTTCTTACTTTTTCTCCTCTAATCACGGACTAATTTAGGCCTGGGACATCAGGTAGGTGCATTTAATGATCAGGTATGACAGAAAACCAGCACGCTTCCGGACATCGTAGGGTAAGATTTGAATATCCCTGGTATATGGGGTCTTCAAGACTGTCATGCATTTCTCTTGTGAGCATGTAGACAAAGCTATCAGCACACATCTACAATACTTTTACTCTGATAGAACTCCAATAGATTGGTTATAACACATATAAAACCATATAAATACATTATAAAGTCTCTCTCTCTCCCCCGCTCTTACACACACATGCCCGCACGCATACACACACACACGTGCTAAGCAAGTAGTGTGAAGTACTTTACACATAAAGGACTTCACGCTGCTTGCTTAGCACACACACACACACACAAACACACACACAAAATAATGACAACTCCTCCTTGGTCTTTGTGTTTAATGGACAGTGTGACAATTACAAAAGTGAAAATTAGAACCCTTCTCTACTCTGCACCCCTTCCCCCTCTCCTCTTTTCATCCCTCACTTCCCCATCTTCTTCTTGTGCATCTGGTAGCACTGCTCACAGGCGATGGACAGGCCCACAACTAGAGAAACAAACTCCTCAAAGTCCACCTCTCCATCACCGTTAGAGTCCAGATCCTTCATTATCTTGTCTACTGTGGTTGGGTCCTTCTGAGACTGAAAGGGAAACACAAGGAAGACAGGGACATTTTAATAATACTAAATATTAATACTGTAATTTCACTAACATTAATACGGGACAACAGTGAAAGTCGCTACTCTTTATTGGGCAGGTACATGACAAGTAGGGCCAAGTTGTTTTGCTGACCACTTAACCAGGGAAAACTCTGGGCCCTAGTCAAACCTTATGACTAGGGCCCTGAGTTTTTCATGGTTACGTCACGTGATGAGGAAAAACTCCTGTTCCTAATCATAAAGCGTGCATGTTTTCTGTATCAAACAAACATGGAGTTCTACTACAGCTAGTAGTATATAGTAATAGAGATAATATACTGTGCGTCCCAAATGGCACCCTATTCCCTATATAGTGCACTACTTTTGAGCAGGGCCCATAGGGTAGTGCACTATATAGGGAATAGGGTACCATTTGGGACGCACCCTTCGTAGAGATAGTAGTAGAGATAGCCACCTTGAGGAAGCCAGAGAGCTCGTTCTCCATCAGGTCCTTGAGCTCGCGGCGGCTCAAAGTGTTGCCACTGCCCTCCTTAGCAGCGTACTTGTGGAACACGGTGATCATGGACTCCATGGCACGTTCCAGTTCTGAAGGCATGGCTGCAGGTCTGAGTGAGGTCACACTGAGAGAGAGTGCGAGAGAGTGAGAGAGAGGGGCAGGGAAAGTGAGCCAGAGAGAGAGAGGGACAGAGAGAGAGATATTTCATAAAAGAGAGGTAGTAAAAAAAGGATGTGGTATGAGAGAAGAGAGAAAATGACTGAATGTGGGAAAAATGTAGTCCAAAACTGAGTAGAAGGAAAGACAAACTAGACTAGAGAAAGAGAGGCCGCACCAACACTGAGGAAACGTGTGTGTACATGTCGACGGTCAGCTCTAAACCCATTCTTTCAAAGTGAGCCACACCCTGGTGTAGTCTCTCTGGACTCCACTGAGTTAATATTAGACAATACTACATGATGATTATTATCATTAGGGGCTAAAAGGAAATGGGTAGAATGAGTCAGAGCAGCAGATGGGGATTTTTACTGGAAATTGAACGAAAAACATTTTTTCAGTCAGTTTCCTTAATGTTAATTAATATAAAAAACTCAGATGATATTTTAGACTAAAACAATTATAACACACACAATTATAATGGTATAATTGTTAAGCAAACATGACAGGTTCTATATGTTGACCATGCTCTTTTGCCCAGTGTGATTATTTTAGTTATACATTTACATTTTAGTCATTTAGCAGACACTCTTATCCAGAGCGACTTACAAAAGCAATTAGGGTTAAGTGCCTTGCTCAAGGGCACATCAAACAGATTTATCACCTAGTCAGCTCAGGGATTAGAACCAGCGACCTTTCGGTTACTGGCACAATGCTCTTAACCACTAAGCTACCTGCCCCCCAAATGATGAAGTTTTAAAATCCTTAATCAATGCAGATCACCTAAAAAGTTAAGTCTGGACTGTAAAAAGTGACTGTTATGTTCACTTTTATATTTACAGATGAAAAGTATGACACCCACTCCATAGAAAACTGCACCAAGAATAAAGTCTGCAGACTAGTTTCTGAGTTGAAGGAGGAGATCAGATAGGATTAACAAAACTATTTAGCTTGAATCGACTTTTTACATTCGTATTAGAGGCTGAATTCTTACCGTTCACGAGTGTGGAGTTGGCAATTGAGAAGAGGTTGAATTGTGCAGAGTTGAGAAATATTGCGCATGAGAATTTATAGACAGGCAACGCCCTGTATGCGCTGCCTTGAGTGAAGTAAGTAATGATACCGTGGATATTGAGCAAGACAGTAAGACTATGATAGTAAGTTACCTTGGTAAACCTACCAAACACAGTCAAGCTAATATTTTGCGCTGTGTAATAAAAACTATTAAAATGACTAACTAACTATTTTTTAAAATAAATGATTGATAGCCCTACATTTAATTAATCTCCCACTTATACACAAAACAAACGAGGTGGGCTAAACAATGAAAATTGAAAGTGAGGTAAAGACAAATACACTTAGCCTAGTGTAAATTATTAATTATAATCGATTGCAATGACAAACAACTTGTTTGAGCAAGCACTATCATTACAGTTGATCAGAGTGTAAATAATTAGCCCAGCAGTTGTAGCCAGCATTTATGATGGTGACCATCCCTGATACTACATGTAGTGAGGCTTTTACCTGTGTACGGTGTTGCCAACTACATTTCAGGGGAAGGTAGGTCGATTTGTTGCTTAAAAGTTGCCAAATGACTTTGTGATGTCATGGCGTAATAACGTAAAACTGCGTCATTACGTAGAATACACAATAACGTTACTCAAATTGACTGGCCATCTCCGCAACAAATATGACTTGTAATTTGTTAGTTTAGATTTGTTTGTTTATTATCACATTTTTATTTGTAAAAGTAATATAAACACAACACATTTTATATGAAAATTTATTTTTATTTTAAAACACAACACATCGAAATATTGAAGAATTACACATTAGACATTATTGAACAATTACATTTTATTTATTTTCTTATTAACTAGTAAACCTACACATTCTGAACAATTATAGTTTTAAGCAGTGTATTGGTAGTTAGTTAACATGCTACCTAACTGATCAACAATTATAGGTACAAGCTAATAACAAGGTATATATGCTATCTTATTGAACAAACAACTCAAATAATGATGTGTGCGCTAGGCATCTCTCTCCAGCTCTCTCCAGGTTGTTGTGCTGCTTGGCTGGCCTGCTGCTGCCTGTGCACGAGCTGAGCGCCTGCTGCTGACGTCACTCACAATGCACTTTTGCAGCCAGGCACGTGTGTTGTGACTGAGTGTGTGACAGAGAAAATCGTTTTTGTGTCATTTAGAGGGAAAATGCGTGCATTGTATCGTTTGAGTCACTTTTCAAAAGTTGATAAAAGTTCCAAATATTTTTTTTTAAGTAGCTACATTTGTTGCTAGGTGCTGTTTGAAAAAAAAGTTGCCAGGGTGGTCTGAAAAGTTCCTAAATCTAGCAACAAATTGCTAAATTGGCATCACTTCCTGTGTGATTTGTATCACTCTGGGAGTGGTCATGATGACGTGAGAAGTCAGACCAATATATGCGTCCCAATTGGCACCCTATTCTCTATATTGTGCATTACTTTTCACATGTTTAAAAGTAGTTCACTATATGGAATAGCTTATAGCATTTGGGTGATTTTTTAATAAAGCAGCTCCAACCTGCTGCTCCAATAAGTAAGCTACAGTAAATCCAGTTTTGCTCTCAGCAATAAGATATAATAATAATTTACTTATTCAGATATCCTCAGCACATCCAATCATTTTATTTTGCTGCAGATATAATTTATGGAAATGTATGGAAACCTCTCATGAAAATAATTTAAAATAGATTCTTAAGCCTCGTTTTCTGTACATTTCGATACATTTCGATTGAGAAAGCAGTGGTGTATATCTGTCTGCACCACATATCAAGACTGCACGGTTAAATAGCAAGAAAATAAAAATATGTCTCTACAACCACCATGTAAAGTGGTTCTAATGGAAGGGGTGCAGCAGCTTTATTGTGCAACATGGAAGCTTTTGGAGGGTCATGTTTTTATGCCCTCTAGTGGAATAGCCTTGTAATGGCAGAGTACTTAACTAATCAAATCAAATTGTATTCGTCACATGCATCATAAACAACAGGTTCTCACTATAAGTGAAATATTTAAAATAAAGTTTTACATGTAGTTGTTTGGTACTGTAGCGATAAGGGGAAGATTATGAAATGGCAGAGTTCTCTTCGTCTCTCCCATTTCATTCCTTTATTTTTTCTTTGGTCTGCTTCTCTGCCCTAACCCTTTGTGTGTGTGCATGCTTGCGTTTGTGTGTGTGTGTGTGTGTGTGTGTGTGGGCATACATTGTGAAGAGGGATGACATAATTTGCTGACCAAAAAGACATGGGCATCAAGGGAGGGTCACCTAGCGACAACACCCAGCTTTATAAAAAAAAAAACTATTTTCGGCCTACACCCTTTTCCCTCTCAATCGTCTATACTCTTTCCCATTCTTTATTTCTCTACGCATCATCAGCGTATAACTCACATATGACATTCAATGGCTCTTTGAGCCTCATTGTGCTCCTCTACCCATGGCTTAACCTTAGAAAGAGATTATTTGTGCTGCTTGTCATGCTTGAGGGTTCTCTATTTGTATAACTCCTATGATAGTAAACTGAACTGCACAACCAAACAAGTTCTTTAATATCTTGAACTTTAATATCTACAGGGTCAGTGAGAGAGAGAAACAGCCAAACCAAACTGCCCACACCCAATATTTGATGTGCTAAAACCTGAAGAAGGCACTACGTTACCGAAACGTTGGTCGTTAGGTTTACCCAATTGTTGGGAGCATACACAGAATATGCAACTTTCTTTCTTTCTTTTTATACTATGAAAACCTTCTGCAGATGTCATAATTTTCCTATTGTTTTGTGCCTTGCAGAAATGTTTAACTTGCTGTGTAATGGCGTATTAGCAGGGTTATCATAAATCACACTAGTCCTTCATCTCTTCAGATTACTTAAATCATAATCATCAAATCAAATGTTATTTGTCACATGTGCCGAATACAACTGTTATAGACTTTACCGTGAAATGCTTGCTTACGAACTCTTCCCAACAATGCAGAGTTTAGAAATAAAAATTGTAGCACGAAGAATAAAATAAAATACACAAGAATGGACTTATATATAGGGAGTACCAGTACAAGATCAATGTGCAAGGTATTTAAGGTAGATATGTACAAGAAGGCAGGGTAAAGTGACTAGACATCAGGATAGATAACAATAAGAGTAAAATAAAGAACAGAGCAGCAACAGCAAATGATGAGTGTAAACGTGTGTGTGTGTGTGTGTGTGTTGTAATGTGTATATATGTGTGTTTGGGTTGTGTCAGTCTGCGTGGTCAAAAGTTTTGAGAATGACACAAATACTAATTTTCACAAAGTCTGCTGCCTCAGTTTTGATGATGGCAATTTGCATATACTCCAGAATGTCATGAAGAGAGATCAGATGAATTGCAATTAATTGCAAAGTCCCTCTTTGCCATGAAAATGAACTTAATCCCCAAAAAACATGTATACTGCATTTCAGCCCTGCCACAAAAGGACCAGCTGCCATCATGTCAGTGATTCTCTCATTAACACAGATGAGAGTGTTGACGAGGACAAGGCTGGAGATCACTCTGTCATGCTGATTGAGTTAGAATAACAGACAGGAAGCTTTAAAAGGAGGGTGGTGCTTGAAATCATTGTTCTTCCTCTGTTAACCATGGTTACCTGCAAGGAAACATGTGCCGTCATCATTGCTTTGCACAAAAAGGGCTTCACAGGCAAGGATATTGCTGCTAGTAAGATTGCACCTAAATCAACCATTTATCGGATCATCAAGAACTTCAAGGAGAGAGGTTCAATTGTTGTGAAGAAGGCGTCAGGGCGCCCAAGAAAGTCCAGCAAGCGCCAGGACCGTCTCCTAAAGTTGATTCAGCTGCGGGATCGGGGCACCACCAGTGCAGAGCTTGCTCAGGAATGGCAGCAGGCAGGTGTGAGTGCATCTGCACACACAGTGAGGCGAAGACTTTTGGAGGATGGCCTGGTGTCAAGAAGGGCAGCAAAGAAGCCACTTCTCTCCAGGAAAAACATCAGGGACAGACTGATATTCTGCAAAAGGTACAGGTATTGGACTGCTGAGGACTGGGGTAAAGTCATTTTCTCTGATGAATCCCCTTTCCGATTGTTTGGGGCATCCGGAAAACACCTTGTCCGGAGAAGACAAGGTGAGCGCTACCATCAGTCCTGTGTCATGCCAACAGTAAAGCATCCTGAGACCATTCATGTGTGGGGTTGCTTC